GGCATTACACAAATATTTCCACATAGTGAGGTAGATATGTGGGGGCGTGTTAGAAAGAGCCGTTTTAGGGGTGTGTGGTTAGGAGTCTTAACTTTGATAAAGAATATCTCTTTGGTTTTGAGACTTTAGTCTTTGCAACTTCAGGGATCTTATCTATGCACAATCAGCTTGTAACACTCCAAAGAGAAAGGAAAACTTGAAATTGCATCATATGACCCCTTTAATAATGACATTTCTGATTGTTCAAATGGTCAGCTGTCAGTTGCCTGCCTTGCCTGCCCTATTGCTATGCCTCTGCTCTAGTGAACGTGCCATTATAAAGCTTGGAAGAGCCAGGACATTTTTTAATATAACTCTGATTGTATTTATCTGAAAGAAGAAAGCCATAAACACCTAAGATGGCATGAAGGTGAGTAAATCTTGGGGTAATTTTCATTTTTGGGTGAACTGTCACTTTAAACAACAGTGTGAAACTTGTTTGAACTGAGCACATTCATTGATGGACTGGAGTGGTGTGCATTACTTGTGGATTATTGTGATGTTTTTATCAGCTGTTTGGACTCTCATTCTGACAGCACCCATTCACTGCAGAGCATCCATTGGTGAGCGAGTAATGTAATGCTATTTTATTTTATTGGAGATTTATTTTTGGTGTTTTATGCCTTCATTTAGATGGGATAGTATAGGTTGACAGGAAGTGAATTGGGTGAGAGTGAGGGGGATGGGATCGGAAAAGGTCAGCGAGCCGGGACTTGAACTCGGGACGCCCCAAGGGCGACAGCGCTACATGTTGGCGTGCTGCCCACAAGACCATTGGCACTGACCTCCAAATCTGATTTGATGAAGAAACAAATTAATCAACATCATTTGGGAGACCTATTACTTCAAGGATCAGGTGCCTGGGAACTGTACTCAGCCTCATTTATCAACTGCATTATTTTTATTTGTAGCAAACTCCTGGTTTCACTGGGTAGACGGGAGATTGCTGGTCGAATGCGGTTAAGAAAGCTATTTGTGGCACTCATCCATGGCACATTTTGTTTTTCTTTTTTTAGTGCTGCTGGCACCTGGCTGCTTGTGTTGGGGACCTGGCTCTCAGGTACCTGTCAAGTCAAATTTATTTGTATAGCTCTTTTCACAATATAAATTGTTTAAAAGTAGCTTTACAAATGGTCATACTGTTAATCAACTGTCTTGGTGTGCCACTCTGCACACGCTTGAGTGTTAAATGTAAAAAGTATTAAATGACAATATTTATTTTTAATAAATCACAATAGGGAACCATCCTGCACCTGTTTGCTTGTTCCTGCTCTGAGAAACTGGTTGCTTGATCCCTGCCTGATGGTCTGTTCTTTTCCTTGAAGTGAATAATTCCCACTTGTGGGTCTTTCTGCTACAAATGCTTCAATAAAAGTCATTATGTAAAAAAATTCCATTTTCTTCTGTCCCTCTTTCACTTCCACTTCTCTTACTGTTTTTTTCTATATATATACACATAACATGCAGATTGTTTCAAAGCAGCTTTACAGTGATAAACAAGAAAATAATGATTCAATGATGCAAACAAAATTCATTCATTCTGTAAAGCAGCTCTAAAAAGACAATAGTAAACAGTCATTATTCATTTGAAATCAGTTCACTGTTGATTCAGTTCGGTTCAATAACTGTGTCCATCAATTATATGTTTTAATGTTCAAATGTACTATTGGTTCCTGTTTCCAATGACACTGTTTACCAAGCAGCCTCTCTTTTTATCAGATTTTTGTAATCTTTTAAAGATGTATTATATAAAACAGGATGATGCAACATGACTAAAATCAGCGCTTCCTCAATCTTTGATATTCTGTAGAGAGAGGTCATGTCATGATGTGTCAATATAGAAATAGAATTTGGTCCAATAGAAATTGGTCTCAAGCCTTCATGTAATACGAAATTGCAGGTCAAAGTTGAACTTATAAACCTTATTTCTATAGCTCCTACAGTCTCAGGAGAACAAACTAAACTTCCTACAGACTCAAGAGAAAGGCCTAAGCCAAAAATTCTTAAACAGTGCTACACTGATTATTATGGCTACACTACATGCATCGATTAATCTGCTTATGAAAAAGTGTTCTTTAAGTTCTTTTAGAGAGCTTTCACTCACTAAATTAGGATCTTTGAGAAACGATCCAGTTGATTCAAATAAATTGTGTCCACAGATGCAGTCAGTTGATCTTCAACATAAAAACTGTAGAATCTCCAAGACTCTTTAGTTCACTTCTTGTTGCAGTGGGTGAGTTTTCTTGTCAGTCTCTCCTGGCTGGCTCGCCAAATTGTTAGATTTGTCTGTATTTGCTGAGCAGTAGTTTGGGTGTCTCGCCAATGCACTAGATTTCTCTAATACATAAAATAAGTAAGCTTAACCAAAGTTCTTGTGGGCAGAAGAATGTATTGAAGGTAGCAGTGTAGCAGTTCTTCAGCAGCGATGTTAGCATGTCATCCTTCAAACAATCTTAACCCAAGGTACTGTCTGTGAGACCAGACCTTTACAAACACCCCATGGAGAGCCAATGATAGTGTAGCCACATGACCTGATAATACCTCTCCCATGGAGAGCCCATGATACATTGACCTAATGCTGACCTAGTGGGCTAATTATATGGGCCATTTGGGTCACACTTTTGTAAACAGAGTTTCAGTTGATTGCATCTGAGGCACAGTCACAATGTAAATGCATCTGACTTGAAGTACACAATCTTTCAGATTCTTTAATTGTCTTGAAATGTTTTATGCCATCTTTTAATACCAGCAAAGCAATGGTCTATATTAATGTTTTGAGGAGTCTGCAAAAGTTTGGATTTATGTGAATATAAAATTCTAGGTTCTGGAAAGTGTATAAGACAAGAATGTATTACTAATTTTAAATGACAAGAGGAATAAGCCTTGTTTTTTTTTTTATAGATCCTGCTCAATTACACATCACAAAATGACACAGTTTAGTATGCTAGAAATATTTTATTTGAAGCTGAAGCTACACAGTACAGAGTAACCAACACCATGAAACAATTACTTGAGTTTCCAAATGAGAAAAAAAAGGTTAATGACTGATTCAGAATGACATTTGTAATCTCTCAAACTCATAAATTCCAATTCCTAAAAACTACAAAAAAAAGAAAAGAAAAAAAAAATCAGAAAAGATGAAAAGACAACAGTGTCTTGCATAAAGCATAAGTGCACTTGTCCTACATCATGACTAAATGCACCATAAGAAGTTTAATGTTTACAGCTTGTAGGTTAAGAGAAACTAAAAGTTATCTTATTTTTCAAATCAATTCAATGTGAACACTTTCTGTTCAATGGAGCCATGATGTTTCCTCTGTTTTAGTTATTTGTTTGGTTTAACAGTGCTGTTTGACGACAATGTTGGCGAATCCATGCACCTGAGTGAGCTGAGGACAATCAAATGATGCCAGAAGTTTATGTGGGCCGTGACACTTGGGAATAAACTTCTCCGTCAGGCACACTGTGGCATGCCCTGCAATGTCACTGTGAAAGAAAGAAAGATTATTTAATACTACTGTGATTATTACATTTTACTTTTTTTGATTAAATAATCACTGTTTGAGTTTAGCAATCATAATTTATACAATTAAGTGAAAATTAAGCATAATAATGCAACTTTTATTATTTAATAAAAAAAAAATTTAATTAATTTTACCCATAGTTAACAACTCTGGCATGCTGCAGTCCAAGTCCCACAAAGCGGAATGCAGTGTTCTTCAGGACACAAGGCAGTGGATTCTGGAAAGTGATTTTGACTGGCACTTCTTGACCCAAGACAGCATCACATACAGGCTGAGAAGAACCACATACAAGACGCAATTTAGCATGAAATGATTTCAAACAATCAAAAGATGTATCAGTTGAACCATAACTTTGAACTTACAGCGATAACAAGATCTGGTGTGCGCAGTCTGAAGCTGTACTGTGTGGCCAAAACCTGCTTAGTCTGAGCCACATGTCCGAAGATGTTGAGCATCAGTGAGGCGTGATCCACCAGGTGTTCCTTATACTCGTCATAACTCAGGGTCCATTCCAGAGGTCTGCCTATTGTGGGGAAAAGTGACAAATATTGAATGAATACTCAAGTCTCTTTACCCATAAGCTACATTGTACCAACTGTGTAGTCTCATGTATTGCAACTCTTTGATTTCAGATTTGATAACTTCTCACATTCAGAGGGCTTGAGCTCAATGCATGTGTGGTCTTTCTTCAGGAAGGTCTTTCTGACTCCGGTGTAGTACATGGCTGCAGACTGGCTGTAGAGGGTGACGCTACGAGATGAGCTGCATTTGTTTTTTAGATTGATGCAAAGCACAGCATCTTTGCCCACACATGATCCATCCCCTTTCAGGTTGACTTCACAGACAACATCCTCAGCACAGGGCAGTGGGTATGTGCATCGCTTGGAGCCATGACGAAGAGCTGTTTCCAAAGCAGTGCACTGCTCAGAAGAACCTGATCAATGAAAGTAAAAGGAAAATTTAGAGAGCGATGAAACACAGGAGAAACACGAACATTCATCACTAGTATAAGCACCATGGTTCAAAGTAATGAGTGCTGGAATGCATGCGGTTTTTACCGAGTGGGTGTTTGTAGAGATTTGTGATATCCACACGTTGATCTGAGCCAACAGCCTTGGTGCTGATGCAGTGACCTACTACATCCTTCTCAATGTGGACAACACCAAATGTTCCATCACATTTCCTCTGCCAGTAAACTTTATCATTATTCACCTAGAACACAGAGACAAACAAGAATCATAAGTCATATGTCATTATAATTGATGTATGACACAATGGTAAATTAAAGGAATTAACATACTTCAGCGAAAAGGAAGGGCACATCATGCTTCAGGAAGGTCTGTCCACTGCGGATCGCAGCAACAGAGGTAGGGCCGCAGCGGAAGAAGCCCTGGCTGGTCAGTTGAGGAGTGGAATCAACCACCTGCCAACCTCCGAAACCAGATGGCAGGTCTGACCGAGTCATCCAGGCCTCATTCCACACGTGGTAGTTCCTACATAGAAGAGAAGATGAAAGAAATGAAAACAGTTCATGGACATTCAGAGGAACTCTTGGTTACAAATGGTAATGACACTTACCAGACTGAATCACGGTTCATGTGATCGATCAACTGGAATTTCTCATCCAAATAGACGTCAGATGTCAAACAAACATCAGTGTCATGAGCAGAACAGAAGTTTGAGACCGGACGAGCAGGAATTCCCAAACACCTCAACACTACGAGAAAGAGAAGAAGAATATAAGTGCATTATATCTACAATCACTTTCTCAAAACTTTTTGTCCTTGTCCAGTCTGCAGGAACTCTTACGTGTGTTGGTGACTCCAGCAAAGGCCGAGCTCTGTCCATATTTGACCGGTATTCCTCCACATTTGTGGTATTGTTTCAGGATGGCACTGCTGCTGCACCAGGATGTCGGAGCAGTTCCATCTCCATAGCAGTTTGACCAGTTACCCACCAGCACACCACAGTCTTTGTTGGCAATAACCTGATAAGGAGAGATGATTGAAAATATTATAGAAGCACTGCATTCAGAAGAGAACAAATTAGACCATTGTGTCAGGCTTTCAAACATGAAATCAGGGTATTGATAAGAAGTAAATGAAAACTCACCATGTCAGACACTACTCTGGAAATGTTAATGGGGTTTCCCCATCCTGAGCAAGGTTTACCGCTCTTCTCCAATACATAAATACACGCAGACAAGATTCCCTTCTCAAACTAAGAACCACAGATCAGAGAGGAAGAAAATTAGATATTGTTAAACAACCTTCATGCTATCTTATGCACTTGTTCTGTGGAATTATATCTCAGATATGGGAAGGTTAGGAAAAACTGTCTAGGGTGGCCAGAAACCGTAGCGGTGCCTTTATCTCTGACATATCTTAAACTTGAACTTGTGTAATATATTAATTAAATTTTTGGCTCTTACTTGACCAAAGTTCCATGTTCTGCAACCAATCTGCTGCTTAGTTCCATAGTAGATTCTGCCCATGTCATTCAGCACATACTCAGCTCTCTCCGCGTCATCACTCAGATACACACAGTCATCTGATAAAGAAAACATTTTTTTACTTTAAATGGAAAAGCTTCATTAAGTTTCAATAGTGCTCACTTTACTCATTCTATTACATTTTCATATTTAGGTTTTACCTTTACACCAGGGGTTGAACAACATGTAAATTTCATTTTCAGGAACACAAGGTAAAGTGAATCTGCCTCCTGGACAGTGTGTCACGACACTGAGCTGGTATCGTCCAACGCAAGCAGTCGGAATAGAGTGCACACACAGTTTGATTCGGTTTTGTCCTTGTTCCACAATCTTTGCACCCCAGCAGTCTTTCTTGAATTCTTCCACTATTGGAACGATCACATAAGTGCCGTCCCGGATGGATGGGATGTGACCTGTAAAACACACAGAAGAACAAGAGATTTCAATGATGGTAAAAATGTTAGTTCAGCTCATGTTATTTCTTGGCATGTTTCCACATGCTGTTGGTCATAACTAACCTAGTTTGAGCTCCAGGTGAAGCTTGTCACAACTGGGATTGAAAGGACGGCACAGATCAACCCACATATTGAAACACTGTCCTCTGCGGACGATGAGATGATCATCAAGGAAACAATGTGTGTGATGCTCCTCACGATTCTTTCCGGTCCTGCATTTGAGAAGGTCAACTTTACTCACCCGGAGGACAGCATCTGAGAAAATGAAAAAGCAGAAAACAGGTAAATAATCATCAAACAGATCATTCATTGAGTTATTACAAGTAAGGATCATTCCCATCATGCACTGCAGGACAAAGATAAAAAAAAGACAATGTCCCTTACCCTCGACCCCACAGACTCGCTTGCTTGTACAATCCTCCACGCATTCCTTGACGACGACTTCCTTTGTCTCATAATCATGGCATGGAGTGACAAAACCGCAAGGATTAGGGTATGGAGTAGCACAAGGGTTAACACATGGGTTAACACAGGGGTTGACGAATGGGTTAACACAAGGGTTAACATATGGGTAAGCATAAGGGATATTGCAAGGGCTAGCCCAAGGATTTACATAAGGTTTAGAGCATGGGTTAACACAAGTGTTGTTGTAAACCGGTGTATAGCATGCTGCTTTCCTGCAGCCATCCTCCTGCAGTTTAATGGCTGGGAAACGGCCAACGGTGCAGAGGTTTTTGTATGGGTTGTATACAAAAGGCATGCTGGGCAAAAAAGAAAGAAATGAGAGACATGAGTGTCATCTGTATTTGGTCAGTAGATGGTTAATAATTCATAAATACGAAATCTCTTAGAAATCAGATCTCCAGTTTCGTTTAAGTTTGGTTTCTTGACAACATTAGGCTGTTCCCAAAAGGCCAAAATTCTTAACTATATAACTATATAAACTATATAATTATACCAGAAAAGGAAAGTCATTGGAAATAACAATCCGGGTTTTTAAACAAATCTTGGTGGCCTATGAATTCTAGATGTCAGCTTTCTAATAGCAATTCATAATAAGTTTCAAACAATGTCTGAGATGATTACTTACATGGTTTTAGTCCTTGTCTGTTCAAGAGAAACTGAACCGAATACTTGAAGTGCTGTAGCAAGTGAACAGTATGTTCTGCTTTAACCAGCTCGTCGCTCGTACTGTTGTTTGTCTCCAAAGCAGACGGGATATTTATACTACATCTCCATCTCCACCTCATCCACAGCTCATAGCTGAGTAATTGTCCTCTTAAGAAAGAGATGAAAGGATTTTGAGTCATGTTAATTTTTACTAATTAATGGGAGAAATTAACATCCTAGTTTAATTGTTCTGAACCTTTAAACTTTAGGCAGAGTCATTTTCAGACTAACTCCTTGTCTCCACTGGACATTAGCGGTGCGACATGACGTGACTAAAGACAATAGAATCCATTCAATTCAGTGTGATACTGTCTACACAGAATACACCAAGATGATGAAAATAGTAATAAAACTAACAACAATATATGTATATATACTTAATTTTGTATATGTATTCTTTTATATTAATTTTATATCTTGAATTATACTTTTTAGCAGTATATATTCGTATTCTCTCAGAGATATTGAGATATCAGAAACATTCTATAAGCAAAGTATGTCTATATATTTCTTAATGACCCTGTTTGTTAATTTTGCTCTATTACGAGAGCAATGATTTGTGCATCTTATGCAATGCCAAAAATCATTTCTTTTACATACATTTGAAGGAACTGAGCTCCTTTCAACAAAGAGATTAGATATTTTAAGGCAAAATTAGCTCTAATACATAGCCTACAGTAATAGTGCATGATTATATTAAATTAAACTGCAGTATTAAATAGCAGTAAGAGTCTATTATTCTTACATTTCTCTCTCAAGATTGTCAGATCAAGGACGACTCTTTGATATATGACTGTTAGTCAGTTATTAAAGAGAATGACTCATAAAATTGGAAAGCAGAGAAAATTCAAGTATAGAAATTCTCATGAAGGAGAATGAAAAAAATCACCCGTTTAAATTTTCATGTTTTATTCTCAAATTTTTATTTTTCCGTTTTCCTGACAGGCCCTGTGAATAAACAACAACAGCCCCTAGAGTGATGAAGGAAGAGATGTCTCTTGACAAGTGGAAGTGGAAGCAAGGAATCTGATTTCATAACTTTAAATCAGTATGTACCTTTGGATTTATCAACTATATTATACAGTAGAAGGCATTGTCAAGTATGTCATGATTTTTTTTTTCTTTTTTCTGAGACAACATAATTGTTCACCATCCCCAAGCTGAACGGTATGCTCCACCCAGAAGGTGTATGAGGAAATAAGGAGAAATAGCCTTTAATATGACCAATTAAATCAAAATGACCCCAAAACATCCAAAACTCAACAGTTCAGCACATTATTAAAAGAACAATGGGTTTTTTGTTATGGGTAAATTTTTTGTGACATAACTATAGTCTGTCTAGTAATTCTGGTCAAACTTGACAGAAAACAGTGAAAGGGACAATATTCATTAACTTAGTATTCGTTTCATCGTTCCATCCATGTATGTGGGTCATTCCTGGGATTCGGTAACATTTCAACTTAGAACATTTTTTTCAACTACATATGATTCATTTTTTAAATCCCCCACATCATTAGACACATATCAAAACTTTTTTTTTCTTCAGATTTTAGACACCTTTTTTTTTTTTTCAACCCCGTAATGGACAAAATGGGATTGGTTTAAAAAGGATTTTACACAGAACTTGCTATAAAACAAACATCTACCTACTGCTCATGTGTCCCTCATAGCAATTTAATGATGAACAAATGTAACATTTATCATAATTTTCAAATTTTTATAGGACTGAAGTGAAAAATACACAAATTGTGTCTATGGTCTCAATTTAGAAGTTTAACTAAAACCACAATTTTATCGTTTTAGTCCTTAACATGTCAGATGGCAATCAGCAAGAAATGCTTTCATTCTTAATTGTCTTCCCTATATTTTCCCATATATATTAATATGACAAGGCGTGTCGGGATTGAAGACTGTAACACATTTGAAGTGAACACATTGTCTTTAATTTTGGTTTTGTTTGTCTCTCATATTGTCCCCATCTTTCTGGGTAAACATATCTGCATGGCCAACACTGTCTTTCTGCTGCAAATGTGGGTGCAATTTCTGATGTGTGATGCTTGTCAAAGTTTAAATGGACATATTACCTCAAAAATTCTATTTATAACAAAAATATGAGTTGTTATGATGTTGGTAAGTATATATTTACTGAAACCATGACTATTTTATTTCATTTTTTCATTAAAATTATTAATAAATAAAGTAAATAACTCGGAAGCAATACAACTATATGGAAGCAATACAATAAATACATTGTATATACTTATGGATTAAAACAAAATGTTGAAAAATAATCATTTTCCATCTTAATTTTATGTGACGGGGCTGAGTTGTTAAGCTTGACAGTACCCTCCCTGACTATAATATACCTCAAAAATATGAATAATACGTATGATAATACTAACCGTTCTCTGCACCACTATTAAAGAGACCTGAATGATGTCATTTCTGGTAAATGATGTTACATGTGAGTGGAGTCTAAATTATTATGGGCGTAGAATGCGCACATTAGTGTGACGGGGTTGAGTTCAGACTGAGGGACATAACTTTAAAGTCTGTTTTTTTTTTTTTATTCAGTATAATGGGTCTACTAAAGTATTGTGAAAATCTTCTAACAATTCATTTTGGTGAACCACCACTTTAAAAACTCTGAATCCCAGGAATGACCCATGTATCATTATAGACATTGTTCTATCCATCCATCTTTCTATTGTTCCATCCATCCATCCATCCAATTCAAAATCAATCCATGTGGAAAGGTTTTAGTGGTTCTTGCAGTTACTAGCACTTAAAAAGGTCCTTGTGTGAAATAATTTTAGTTCTTTTTTTTCCCCTGACAATTATCTTGGCAACTCAAACTACAAGGGAATTTGCAAGGGAATAAATGTCAGGCTCAGTATGGTCAGGCTTGAAATGTCACTGAAAAACAATGAGAACTAATTATATAACCAATTAAATTGTAACAAGTTCTCCCATTCCATTGTGTTTATCACAAACCATAATAATTGAGTTCAATCAGTGAAATCAATGTAATATAGGGCGGTGTGGCAAGTTGATGAAGATGTTGGGTGGAAACCAAAGCAGCACAAGTGCAAAACTCTCAAGAAGTGCTCAACGAGCTTTCATCACTGTACTTTTGAAAACAGGGTTGCTCTGAAATGACTGTCTACTGTAAAGCATTTTATAATCTCCTAAATTACTCTATTATGTATTACAGACAATTATTATAATGCTCGGCCAGTCTTACCCATAATTAATCTGACCTGCTGCAGACCAAGTCCATCAATACAGAAAAAAATCCAAGACAGCAGGAACCACATAAGACAGTGTTGATGGTCACTGCATTTGTCTTGGAAAAGAAAAACATGTATTTGGAAAGATTTGGGCCTTTTCTCCTATTTAGCTACATCACAGAAACTAGTAGTCTTTTCATGTTATGATCTGGTGTCATAACTGCACCATTTCTCAGAGACTCAAATCTCTTAATTATTGGGTGTAATTAAGTACTCAAGTACAAGTTTCCATCTTTTACTTTCAGGCTTCATTAGTGCAGAGTACATAATTACTTATGGCTTTTTAAAAAAAATTTTTTTTTAACCTCCTCTCTGCAGTCAGTTCTTCTAGTGTATTAGGAAGGGTTGTGTTGCTCTGGATGCTTCTCTGTGGTCAACATTGACCAAATGTTAGGCAAGCATGATATGATATTTCTGTCAGGACCACTATCGTCAAAGATGATTGACAATTAGCATACAGTTTGGATTGGCGGTATGGTTCCGTTCTGGGCAAGAACTCCCTGCGCATCCATGCAGCCTAGCATGGATGAGAGCAGGGAGAGCAGCGATAACCCCCCCAGGGTAAACAGAACCAACATAAATGTATTGCAGATATCGTTAAAGTTCAATAATGTTATGTACACATTTTAGAATTAGTCTGATTCAAAGGAGAATCAGAAGGCTGAATCCCGACTGACAGAGGAGGAGCTGGGGATGGAGGAGGGTAATTAGCTATTGAGCAATGCGAAAACTGCTGATAATACTGAGGGACCTTATATATGAATGCTTAGATAGGTGTCATATTCCCATAGGTTGATGGGGATCAGCTGAGAGTCAGCTGATGCGAGTTTGACTAACGTGATTGCCAGAACTAACGCTACGCTAGATGTTTATCGTTTAAAATTGGTGTTCTTTTAAATGTACTACAACAGTTTATATTAATATTTATTGGCAGACAGTCCTTTCAAGAAAACAATCTCTTTCAGAGTTTTCCCTCTGTGCATGCACGTACAGACATAAAAGCATTCATTATATTATATTCAAGTTCATTATTTTTCACATCCTTTACAAATGTTATTTTGAAGCATAATGAAATAATTTCAGATCTAGATTGTTCTTGTTCATTTATATATTTAATGCATGCATTCATTTTCACATTGTGTCCTGCATCATACCTTAAAGTGTAATGTATTTAGTATGAGGAAAAAAAGTTTTCTGTGTTTATCTCAAGGAAACACATTCATAGCTTTATGTGTTACTTAATGTGTTTATCAATTCTTATACTGTTTATCGAGTCTGATCTCTACTCTCTAACAGGAGT